TCCGCATATACCTTTTTTTAATAAAGAGTCCTCGCATCTCTATGATATTTTTCCCCCCGCGTTCAGGGGCTACGTTTCCGGGGACATAACTATGTGAAGCTGACACGAAAGTCAACATGTGCTTTTATCATTGACTAGTTTTTACACACGTGCAATGCACGTGATTTAATACCATGATTAAGTATTTTTGGCAGTTTGTGCTCATTTTTTTCTTTAAACTCTTACATCCCGATTATTTTTTTATGTTTGTTTAAATGGGATACACCCAATTTAAATTTTCATGTTGATATTTGAATTGACAAAAAACAAATATAATTTAAAAATAATTTGAATTTTCATATTATTTTTGACCGATATGAAACTAAGCTTTATTTGAGAAAGTATAGCATTGCAAAGTGAAAAATATTAAAATAGTGTTATACAAGGAAGGTGAATATTTAAAACCAATATGGCAAAATGATTGATTTAAAGTATGTTAAAACGATGCAAAAGAGAATATGAAGTTTATTCCTAATCATTGATAGACTTCATAAAAAATATAAATTAAAGATTAATGCTAACTCTAGTATACTTTTATATGATAAAAACATCCACATAAGAATATAAAAGTACTGAAAAAAATTCATGAAACTCCCTTCTAAAGATTCCTAATTTCACTCAAAATAATTAAACTATTCTATAAAATATTCATAAAATATTGTTTTTATTTCTTCTATTTTATTTTTTATTGAGTTAAGATCAATCCTTCTTCAGGTTTATTATTTATCATTTCTCGGACAATTCTAGAGTATTGTCTTCATCATCTACATCAATTGTGACATCAGGCTAATTTTGTATTTTTTATGCTATTATCTTTCCTGGGCTCGTTAATTTTTTATCATCTCATTTAACTTTACAAAGAAGTCAAATGTACTTATGATGTTCAACACAAACTGCTCAAAATATAGACTTTGATTTTTTTTTCTATTTCAATGAGAATAAATATTAATTTCATATATATAAAATTCTTTGTGTTCCTAATTTATTACTTAAATAAATTAGAAGCTATCTCTTTATTTTCCTCTAAAATGAATTCTTCTGATGTGCATCCAATAATAATTTCTGTTATTTCAATAATATTACCTTTGCTCTATCCCTGTCATTTTCCATAAAGATCTAAACTAAATACATGCATTATTCATTACCAATTTCTCTTAGATTATAATATTAATATTTAATTTGAAGAACACAGTATGGAATTTATGAATACTTACTAATTTTTCTTATGTCTTCCATGGAGATTTTTTCTTTGATTAGGATAAAGTTATTAGTGTGTGTGTGATCAAGGCTTGTACAAATATTCTAAGCAAAGAAAAATTCAAATACATTATCTTTTGTTCTTCATTTTCTTCACTTCAAAATGCCTTGATATTCACTTGCACTTGTACATATTTTGATATTGAAATCTGCATATGAAAGTTAGTGCACACAAAATATAAATTGTTATCATCAAAACATTATCATGGAGAAATGATATTCAACATAATATTATAGTGTTTTATCATTTCTATGGATTTGAACATCTATCAATTAATGTTACAAATGTATTTTGGCTACCCCAACTTATTACTAAAATTATATGAAATTAATTTAATTTATATAGTGCCGATAAATTTTTAATCTATAATATTTTTAAAAATTTTATCCATTAACCGGATGTTTTTAATCAATTCTTATTGTTTTTGTTTACCAGTATCAACTTAGACTATTCTTAGATGTTGAAAATGGATAGTAAATCCCTAAATTAGAAATTTTAATATATATATATATGAAAAATACCAAACAATTACACTTTTCTTTGCCAAGTTTTAAAATTTTAGCCCATTTTTGTGGTTTTGAACTTTGAGGGTGTGATTTATAATTTTTAAAATTTTGAAAGAGTTTTTAAAAAAATTTACTTTTAAGTTTGGTAGTTGTAAATTCTATGTTTCATGTGTTGGTGGTAATTTTTTAAATGTTAGTATATTTCTTGTAACTCTAAAATTTTGAGGGTGTCTTTTGCAATTATTAAAACTATAGATTAATTTTGAAAAATATTAAATTTCAGCGGTCTACCAATCGACGAATTTGATGTGTGCTAGTTAAAAATTTTGAAAATTTAGAGTTTTTTTTACGATTTTTAAATTTTGAAGGAGTTTTTTAAAAATTTTGAGGTTAATTTTGGCAAATTTTAATTTTTTAGGTGTCTAAGGGTAATATCTTGAATTCATCTTATTTTATTTACAAATTTTAGAATTTTAGGGTGGTTTTTTATAATTTGAACTTTTGAATGTGTTTCTATAATTTTTGAGATATTGAGGGTGTTAATTAAAAAATTTAAATTTAAATGTCAAAAATTTTAGGTGTATCATGGTAATCTCTTGAATTCATCTGTGTTGTTTGTAAGTTTTAAAATTTTAGAATTTTAATGTGCTTGTCTGTAATTTAAACTTTTGAGGGTGTTTCTATAATTTTTGAGACATTGAGGTGCTAACTGTAAATTTTAAATTCTTTGCAAACTGATGTTAATTTTTTAATTTCATGTTTTTTATTTTAAGTTTTGAGACATTGGGATGATTTTTATAATTTTAAACTTTTCAGGGTCTTTTCTGCAATTTTAAAACTTTTTATGGTTTTTTTGCAATACTTCATGTATTATAATATGTTATCTACTTGTAATTTTTTTATCTTAACAAATTAATATCATTTTTATGTTTTATATATTTTATTAATATTAGTTTTTTTAAATTGTTAAGCTAAACATGGTTCACATAGGATTAGGATAAGATATGATTATGATTAGGATAGATTAAGATATAAATAAAATATTCAAAATAGTGAAGGATAATATTGACCATTGAAAATTAGAATTTGATTATAGATAAGGTAGTTCAAACTATAAAGAGGTATGTTTTTCTAAAAAAGATTTTCCGAACTCGTGCTTTTAAAGAGAGTATGATAATTCTCGACCTGAATTGCTTGGATATGCTGATGCTGGGTATTTATCTGACCTGCATAAAGCAAGATCTCAAACTGGTTATTTATTTACATGTGGTGATACCGCTATTTCATGGCGATCTACGAAGCAATCAATTACTGCTACTTCTTCAAATCATGCTGAAATAATAGCAATTCATGAAGTCAGTCGAGAATGTATTTGACTAAGATCAATGATCCACTATATCCGAAAGAATAGTAGATTGTCTCCTGAAAATGAAAATCCTCCAACTATTTTGTTTGAAGACAATGCAGCTTGTATTGCTCAATTAAAAGGAGGATATATTAAAGGAGATAGGACGAAACACATTTTACCAAAATTCTTCTTTACACATGATTTGCAAAAGAATGGTGAAATTGTTGTGCAACAAATTCGATTGAGTAATAATCTGACAGATTATTCACCAAGGCATTGCCGACTGTAACTTTTGAGAAATTGGTAAAAAAATATTGGAATGCGTCGGTTGAAAGATCTCAAATGATATTTGAATCAGGGGGAGAAACTAATACACAAGACTAGTGTACTCTTTTTCCTTCACTAGGATTTTTTTCCTACTGGGCTTTTTCCTAGTAAGGTTTTAACAAAACATATTCTTTGTGTAATGTTGGACATCCAAGGGGAAGTGTTATAAAACAATTGAATAATGTAGATGTCCATTTAGTTTCCCGAGAAGATTGATACATCTATTACCCCTTGATATTCCTCTAGTACATTAACATTCTTCCTAGAACAACACAATACATGTTCTAGAATGACTAAGTTTATTAATGAGTAGTTAATATGATTCATGTATCATCATCTTAATCTGTCTATAAATAGAGGTATTCCTACCTCACTTTGTAAGAAAAGATTGATGAAATAAAAATTCTTTCTACTTCTCGTTTACTTTCTCTACTCTATTTTATAGTTTACTGCATAAACTGCTACACCAAAATACATTAATTTTACAACATAAGGTATAAAAGTGACCCTTTTTACATAAAATTTATAATAATTAAGTTTAAATGTTTATTGCACGTGCAATTCTCTAAGAAAATTCTAATTCTAAAATGCTCATCCTTCTTGAGTTAAATATGTTTAACTCATTCATTACACATGATGCACAAAAGAAGACTATATTAACACAATCAATGTTGCTTTATATTTGCCAAATAAAAAAGATTTAATAACAGTCTACAATGCAACACATAATAGAGAAAAACTTATGTCAACTTAAGTGAACGTCCACTAAGTTTCTTAGTCATTGATGATCATTTGATTGAGCTACATTGTGGATGATCCGCTCCGTTGAACTTGATTTACATATTTTAAAACCCCGACATACCAAATTTGGAATGAACCCGTCGTGATTTGACTCTTCATCCACTCATATCAATTTTAACGGTTTCGAATGAATAAAACTTTTTACATGGCTCGACGGAGGGTCAAACCACGACGGGTTCACCCCAAATTTCGTGTATTGGGATTTTAGAATATGTAGATCAAGTTTAACGGAACGGATCATTCATAATGTAACTCAATCAAATAATCATCAATGACTAAGAAACTTAGTGGACGTCCACTTAAGTTGACATAAGTTTTTATCTATATATAATATTCTACTAAGAAAACATTTAACACATTGAAGAATGTAAATTCTATCCCAACCTATAGCTCTGGTGATCAGAAATCAAATTGTACATTAACGCAAAACAACAAATATTATTTAGTGCTACAATGCATAAGATATGCGAGAAACGTGAAGATATCCAGTGAGATAATAAACAATAACGCTCACTCGCCTACAGATAATAATAATTAAAAAAAAAAACTACACATGCTACGAATTCTGCTAAATTATCAGTGTGCAAGTTTTCATCTTCAGCTTCAACTATATAGCCATGGAAGAATAAGCCAAGAACAATGAACTTCAATCACTTTCTTCTTCAGCGTCATCTGCACATTGAGTGTGTACCCAAATTATTAGTAACTAAGCAATAATCCTCAAATTCAAAAAAAGGAAAAAGAAATCAGCGGGTTTCATGTTTTTCTATCGAACATATCGGCCACGATACATATCCCAGTCGCAAAAAGTAATACAAAATAGAAGTATATCTGAGAGTAATAATAAGATAACTTAGAAGCCTATGAATAGAGCTCCATGCACTTGTCAAGCTGACCCTAAAGAGGAATTTGTGTTGTAGTGGAATTTGGCCATAACTGGTGGAACAGAACATTCCATTCCCTGAGACAAAAGTTACATGTCACTTCATTAAACCAGATAGAATACTCAACGATACATTACAATGTTAAAAATATACATAAAAATAAACGATGTTTGTCCATTTGGGTCCCATTCAACCCAAAGGAAACTAATTATGTGTAGTCTAAAATTTACGATAAGCCACGAGTTTTTCCATTTCCATCTATTTCAACCCAACGACAACTAAGCTTTCCTCCTTTAAAACTCAGTGGTTTTCATGGCCTGTAACCATAAATTGTGTCCATGTCTGTCAGTTTTGATCCAATGACAATTAATTAATTAGGCGTACTTTAAAATTTCATATAGTTTTGATGGGTACCCACAATTTTTATCCAGTTTCTTCTGCTTCAACCCAATGGAAATTTATTGTGCATGATTTCAAATTCGTGATTTGTAGGATTATAATCCACAATTATGGTTCATGTCCGTTTGTTTCTACCCAAGGGAAATTAAATTTTCTTAGCTCAAAATTCGCAATTGTTATTGGCCTAAACCTAGGGGTGCAAAAAGATATCAGTAACCAAGAATATATTAGTAATCGTATGCATATTTCAAAATTCATAAATTTTTATTAGGCTGTAACTTGTGATTTTTGCGCAATTCCTTTTGTTTTTACCTAATGATAATGATATAATATAAATATAATAAATGGAAACCAAATTCCAAGTGGATTTGGATTCCTAAGGGCAAATCCTAATGATATAATATAAAAGGGTACCAAAGTGCTTAATATTTTTATTAAGGTACCCGGGAAAAGAAAACTTTAACTAGAATTATGTTTATTTCTTTTTGCTAATGACAAAGGGGGAGTTATATAGAAAATTTTAAATTTTTTACTAATGCTTTGATGCAGGGGGAGTAAAAAATTTTATTTAATGATTTTATACAGGGGGATTAAAATTTTTATATCTTAATAACATATATTTGTCATCACAAAAAGGGGGAGAATGTTAGGAATCTTGACCCCAAGATTAGTTTATTTTGATGATAACAAATATTATATGTTGTGTGTATTATGTGCTAACATTTGTTTTGCAGTATCAGAGCTATATCAACAATTATATTCAAAGAGATACTCAAGACATAGATGAGTTCAAGGCAAAATGAAGCAAAGAAGAAGATATACTTTATTGTCAAAATATAATTTTATATTTTCTTTGCTTAGAAATTTGTACAAGCCTTGATCACTCACACACATGCACACACATAGTGTTAGAACACACTAACACATGCTTAGTGTGTTGGTTAACAATAGAAATCCCCTATGTTAGCTATTAGAGTTTATAGATATTGAGTGAGTCTTAAAACATTTTATTTATACCCCTTAGAAGTTCGAATCTAAAAAAACTCAAAAGACCAAAATTGTAGGTCTCTTCAAGAGCTTTCCAACAAATCTTAAATCATCTCATTCCGATATCGGATGAGAAAATTACAACCAAAATACTAAAAAAAAATTCCAAAATCTTTGAGTTTACAGTGTAGTCGACTACTATGCATTGTAATCGACTACTAAGCAATTTTCTGACTTCACAGAGTCTGTTTAGACTTAGTGTAGTCGACTTGTAGTCGACTACAGATGCAGTTTTTTCAGATTTCAGGTTTTAAATAAGTGATTGTTTATAGCCGTTTTGTGGACGTTAATTGGGTTTAAAATTATGTCATTTCAGAGGCTATAAATAGGTTTAAACATCAGAAAACAAGCACCGAGTTTTACACTTGTAAGATTCACATATTGTGCAAATTAACTCTCTAAACTTTCAGTTTTTCGATCTGTTTTTTCATAAAAGAGAGTTTCTAATATTTGCCTTTGTTCCTATCATTCTTAGAGCTTATTTAGACAATATTCAGAGAGTTAAAAAGATTGATAAGCCACCGTTACACGTTCACATCTATATCAAGGCTTATAGGATTGGAATTGTACATTGTTTCAAGGAATGTTCCCTCAGGTTTGAGAGGGTTGATCTCTTGGTCTAGAGATCAGTTTGACGATTGGCATGGTCTTGTCAATTGGGTTGTAATTTGCATGATCTTACAAATTGATCAGGTTTGCTTTTAATTTTGTAAGGCTTCAAAATCATAGTGGAAACTCTCAAGCGGGATTTGCTTGGGGACCGGATATACACCGGGAAGGTGGAACCAGTATACATGCTTGTGTATGTGATGTACACTTTCTGAGATTGCCATTTTTTCTTTGCAATTTATAATCTACTTTGCAAACTCACTCTCTAGTGTTTAAGTGTAAAACTTCCACAAATTTTTATAAGAACACGCTCTATTCTTAAGAGTCATGATCCTACACATGGTATACATAAGCAAAAACAGGACCTTACAATTTGTCTACTTTTGTTTGTTTCGGGATTTTCATAGGCTACAATTTACAATATTTGTCAATTTTCATCTGCTTCAAACCCATAGCAATTAAGTTTTGTTGTCTTTAAAATTTTCAAATTTCATGAGCTATAAGTCATCATTTTTTCCGATTTCTAACTGTTTCAACCTAATGCCAATTTATTGGCGTATTTTAAAATTCACAAATTTTCGTGGTTTATAATCCATTATTTTGTCAATTTTTATTTGTTTCGCTCCAAAAGCCATAAAGTTCTTTCTCCAAAATTCACGATTTCTATGAACTACATACGACTTCTACCATTTTATGTTGATTCAATCTAAAGGTAATTATTTGGCATACTTCAAAATTCGCACTTTTCATGGGCTATAATGCGCAGTTATTTCATTTTCATCTACTCTGACCCAATGACAATTAGTTATACGTACTTCAAAATTAGCAAATTTCATATGTTATAACTAGTGTTTTCAATGCGCGAGGCGCAATGCGGGGCGCAATGTCAGTTTACGCGCAAATGCGCAAGGCGCAATGCGATGCGCGCGCCCGAGTGAAGCGAGGCACACTCAATAAAAAAATTAAAATTTCACGCAAAAATTTTTATTTAATCATGCAAATCAAGGTTATCGATAGTGGATAGCGTCCGCTAAGGCTATTTCGGGCTATTACGGAAAAATAGCGGTAAAAAACGCAAAGTTAAATAGCGGTCTAATTTAGATATATATAACTACTAAAAAAATTAAAAAAAAATTCAAGAAATCTAAAAGTACATATTGGATGATTTAAAGAGATCCTAAACATGAAATAGACATGTAACCATCACGTAATACCGAAGATGACTGAAAGAGTTAAAAAGTTATTGTCTTCGAGAAGAAAAGCTTAGTGGTGACAGAACTGCCCTAAGAGGAGCTCACGATGAAGGAGATGAGAGGAAGTATCAAGCTAGGTGCCAGAGCCTATGAGAGGTGGCGGGAGTATGCTGAAAATCACAGGAGATGGTGGAATGCAATGGTCAATGTTTGATTTTAATTTTTAAAAAATAAGCCTCAAACCGCTTTTAAATAGCAGTCAAAAAACAAATTCCGAATGCAATCGTTTACTATTTACCGTTATGACACACTATTGACCGTTTTTACGAACAGACATTCCGTAATATGCCACCGCTATTGCGCGATAGCGTAGCGGGTGATAGCGTCGCGGAAAGGGACCGCTAACGCTATTAGCACCGCTATTGCGGGGCTATTTACCGCTATTTATAACAGTGATGCAAATTAATCAAACTTTCATACTATTATATTACATCACTAACAACTATATTGCTAAATTTTATTTTTCTTCTTTACAAGTAACAAATGGCAAATCAAGTTTCAAGTTTCAACTACTAGCAGTCGCACTACATCTAGCTCAAATAGCAAGAATCAATTTGTTTTATAGTGTCAAAAGAAAACCTTGTAGTAGATGCTATTTTTTGTTAAGTATTTTATTTGAAAAACCTTGTAATAGATGTGAAGTATCTTGTCAGAATGAAAGAGGATACGAAAAAGTGACAAGAAATTTTATTTTCGCACTACACCCAGCTCCAGACATCAAATTTCAATCATCCAACAGATAGAGCCTAAGTCTATTAATAATAAAATCACATAAGTGATTCAGAGCTACCAAAGCAGTAAAAAAAGAAAATAAATAACAGAGCAACACAACAACTAAAAGGAAATCGGGAAAACAAAAAGAAAAAAGGAAAAGAAAAAAAGAAAAACTGTAAGGAAATCGGAAAACAATTGAGAACAGAGCAACACAACAACAATTTAACACTGAAAACAGTAACAATGTGTTAAAATACGTACAGTAAAAAAAAGAAGAAGAAAAAATCGGGAAACAAAAAGAAAACTGAAAGGAATCGGATGTAAAGTGAATCGGAAAAAAGGAGAAGAAGAAACGGAAAAAGGAGGAGAACTTAAAAAAAGAAAATGAAAAGGAATCGGAAAAAAAAGTAAACTGGAAAAAAGAGAAAGAGAACATGTGCTCGTCGTCGCGGTCTGAGCTCGTCTTCGCCCGTCGTCTTCGCCTATCGTCATCACCTGTCGTCGTCGTCCGTCGTCTTCGCGCGCCTGAGGAGCTGAGTTCTTTTTTGCTTTCGAGTTGGAGAATGGGTCGGAGGAGTGATGAAGCGTCGAAACCCTAGCCAGATGCCTCTTTTTTGCTTTCGGGTTCAAGTCGAAGTCGGGTAAGTACCCAATAACCGCTTGTTGACACCGTCAAATTAACCCGACGCACGTGTAGCGCCCCACAGCAGTGCAGGGCGCTACACCATTGCGTCCAGGCGCACGCCTCTGTGCGCTTTTTAAATCACTGGTTATAACCTACGATTTTTGTCAATTTTTATTTTTTTGACCAAATGACAATTAAAATTTCAATTTTTCATCATAATTTTCAGGGCTGACCCATGGTAAAATTGATGGAAAATAGTTTGTGAATATTTGTCAAATATTTACAATTAAGTAAAATACAAAAATATGAAAGGTGTGAATGATGAGAATAGAGGAATGCAAAAAAGGGAAAGACTCAACATTATTCTGTTATAAATAGCCTTACATATCAATAATCTAACTATAAAAATTCTTCTGAAGACAGCAAAAATCATAGCCTCCAAGCAAATTTCACAAAGAAGAAAAACTTAGCTCACTACTCAAGCAAAGACAAGTTACTTCTATTTTTCCTTTTTTTTTTACCTTCTTTCTTTTCTTTTCTTTTTTATTCTCCTTCCCTTTAGAAACGGACTAATGAAATCAATGAAAGAAGATAGCATTGATTTTTTTATAACTGGCTTACCTCCATCAGATGCTTCACTCGAGTCTTCGTCATTGTTACCCTCATCACTATCCTCTTCATTGTCTTCATCTTCCTCCTCTTCTTCGCCGCCTTCATCTTCGTCGCTCTCAACTTCTATTTTAGGCTTTGGAATGGGAATATAGCTGGATGTGTTTCTTCGACGAGAACTTGAGACAATATTACTCATGTCAATGCCCTCAAGTTCCTTTGCTCTTTCTTTTCTCTTCTTAACTGCTTTTATTTCTGAAGATAGAAAAAAATGGAAAAAGATTTCATGAGAAAAGCCATGAAAAGGCAAGAAACTGACTTCCATTCAAAATCACACACCACATGAATTGCAGGGTCATAATACAGTACTGGCATAATCAAGTTCACCAAAATTCAGTGATTTGTCTACTTTCAGAAAATATGACGCAAGGGCTAACAATCAGTGACACTGTAAAGGAATTAGTAGATACCCAACAATAATGAAATAAGAGTATGAAATTCAAAACAAATAGAAAATTACAAGCATGTCAGCTACTCTTGTAATTGTTTTGAAGCCAATTTACACTCATGCATGACAATAAGAAATAGCAATATGATTTAGGTTCCTGACTTGCATAGAATCATTATGAGAAGCATTAAGCTTCAGCTTATATCTTTCTTCGATGATATAAAAACTTGGACTCTCTAATATCATGGCCAGTAAGCATCGATTTTAATAACAGGGGATGTACATGTATATGATGGAGACTATAGATTAAAAATCACATCATTTATATCAAATTATCCAGACTTAAGCTCAAATTTTCATGTTTTAACAGCGCTTATCCTTGCACCATGTACCATGGTCCATGCATGACACAAGTTTGTCCATTTCTTAAGCATGTAATTTGTGATCACTTCATGACTTCTTAAATCAAGAAACTTTATACTATCGGCAGTAAATTTTGTGGCCACTTGATGCATACCGAGAAATTAGAACAGTTAGGGCATGTTTGGCGAATCTAGATTGTAATCCACTAGGGTTATAATCAATTTGTAGATTATAACGCAAGTGGATTAAAGTTCTAGGTGTTTGGTAAAGAGGGTGGTCTCTAATCCATTTGCTTAGTGATTGGCATTGTTGTCTTTTACTCAAACATGTGGATCATAATCCACCAAAAAAAATAACCTAGGAGTCCTAGCTTTTTTTCCATGGATTATAATCCGAAATAGTCCACTAAATTTGGGTTACAAAACATGCAAAAGTGAATTATAATCCAAAAATATCGCTTATTGTCCACTTTTGACCAAGTTTCCAAACATGCTCCTAGATACAAAACATACATAAGTGAATTCTAATCCATTTGCTTTTTGTTAAAATGACCAAGTTGACAAATTTATGAATTTCTCAAAATGTTTGTACATCTAAATTAATGTTAAGACCTACATATATGACATATCTACCTTTCTCAGAAGGATCTGTTGATAAACCTTCCTTTTCAAGAATTTCTTCCAGCTCCTTTATCAGCTGTGCTTCTCGTTTGCTTTCGGGAGCTTGTTTGACCCTCTTATAAATTGATGGGGGGATACTGGTTCAAAGAAGCATAAAACAGTATCATCAGTATTTAGTATTTATTTGTTGCAAAAATCTAAGTAGCTTGCTTAGGAAGAAAAAATAGCTACCCAATTCCACATGATTTGATTATTGACTTTAGGTGTTCCACTCGTTTCCCATATATTTGAGCTGGCTTTTCATTTTTCTTCTGTATTTAAGATATAATATAATAAGCCATCTATTACCAGAAATCCTTGAATAAGAGTATAGGAAAACTTAACCTTAACTTCCTCCTCTTCGCCTGATGACTGAGAGCGATCATCTTCAGACTTGCCACCATCACTTTCATCACTTTTCTCTAAGTCTTTATCCACTGGTTTTTTCTTCCCAGCGCTTGATGCTTTGCTCTTTTGTGCTGATATTTTCTGTCTCTTTGAACCTTTTGCGTCTGCTTTCAGTTTTTGTGCAGGCCTCTTTTTAGGTTTTTTGATCTCCTCCTCTTCTTCATTGTCACTAAAAACATCATCAGAATCTGAGGAGTCTGAATCCTTCCTCGATTTCTTATTGCCTTTGCCTGTTGTTCCTGTGACTCTTCTGCTGGAGGTCTTTTTAGATTCTTTCTTAGCACCATTTGTAGCTTGAATAACTTCATCCGATTGCAAGACCTAAGACATTAACAAATTGTTCAAATCTCAATCTATATTACAACTACTAATGAAACCAGATGGGTAGGAACAGCATAGTAGGTCAAATAACATATTTATCATAGAACTTACAGCATCCAGTTCATCGCTGATGAATTTTTTAAAAGCATCCAAGCTATTCTTCTCAAGTTTAAGGTCTTCTTCTAATAGGCGACGAAGTTTTCCCAGTGTAATCCTGAATTTTCAAGGTAAGTAAAGAGTCATATGCTGCAGACTGAAATTATCATTCTCACTTATTGCATTTCAATCTACCAACAATAATGCAGGCATTGCAGTTAACTAAATCATTCAGTTTTCTTCTAAACTAATGTCAGTAAAGGTTTAAGCGAATCTAATAAGAAGTGTAAAGTGGCACATACTCAAGATTAGATCTCAGGTAAGGAACTCTTTTTTCAATTGCCTTCTTGATCATGTCTTCACTGATTTCGGTACCATGATCAGAACTATCATGACTTTTTCCAGTTTCATTATCAGCATGTGCATGTTCATCTAAAGCAGGAGACCCTCGTAAACTTTCGTTTAGATCAGCAATTCTATTCCTTAGATCTTCTGGCTGCAATACTTCTTCTCTCACTGGCTGAGCAGGTTCTTCTGCAATTTTCTCCTCAGTCTCGGATGCATTCTTAGCATCAGCGTCATAAAAGTACTGATTTCAAAATAGTATAATGAATGAACTTGCAAATAGATTATGGATAAGGAGGTAGCAAAAAGCATATAGAAAGAAGGGAGAGAGCATAGTGCAACACCAGAATACAAAAATGAAAAATAAAAACATAAAAGCCCACAAAATGAGAAAGGGAACCAAAAGTTGCAAGATAAAATGCATGTGCTTGATAAGCAGAACAATGGGAGAATTAAATCCTCTACATTCTCTTCATCAATTGCACCTGATGAGAGAAACTTTGGTATCATGTTAGAGACGTAGACAAATTCACCCCTAAAAGCTAGTTGTTGAGAGGAAACCTAAATCTCTAATAAACCACACTTGATTTCCCCATTTCGAGTGAGCATGAATAGTAGTTGGAGTCACATATTGTCCAAGTTTCCAGCTACATCCAAATTTCAGCATACATATCTGTCTAGATGTCGTTGCAACTCCAAAAGGCTGCTTTGAAAGAAAATAGCTTAAAATAAGAGTTGTAGTTGTGTTCAAATTGAGCTGTGTAGAAACAATCTGCCTCGGTATTCCACTTTAAAAAAATTGGCATTCCCAAACTAGGCCTTAACAACTTAAATTAAGGATTAAAGTCTTCTTGCTTGAGTGTGTATTCACAAGCAATGAGAGATGGGCTGCCTTTAATATCCTTCTGCTTCCTCTTACCAACTAAAATCTGAAATGGTATATCTCAGCAGAACGCTTCTATCCCTAGTACCCAAGAAACATATATTATAGGTTATTTCAACCATAACTATATTCTATAACCATGAAACCTTATTCCACTGTGTGGTATCCACATTCTGATTCCTGCTCATCTAATCATTCTTATTAAGGAATTATAGCTTCATATTAGTCAATCAGGGTTCGCCATACACTGTCATGTAACTCTCATTCATGATATGTTATGTCCTTGCCTCCTCTTCTTGTACCCCTATAATACTAAACTAATAGTCTAATATGTGTATATGCATATGTGATATATCCATTTTCTTCTTTAAAATAGATGCTTCAATAGAAATGATTCGATGTATTATGCAGACACAAATTAGTACTACTAATACAAGGGTAAAATAGCTGTTTTGGATTTAGAATATGTTGAGCGACTAGAGGCTTATAAGGGGAACACCTTGAACTCATCAAAACATAATGAGGTGATTTCCACATAAAGGTAGCAAACAACAAATACCCACAAAAAAGAGCATAAGTATTACAAGCCTAAAAGGTCTATGAAACAGTAATTTAGTATGCCCACTAGCTTCAATTTCTTAAATAATGTAGTTTTCAATTACCTTTTCCAAACATTGCTTTATAAACTTCTTATGAGCATCCAAAGATAATTTCTCCATCCCTAGGTCTTTTTCTAATGCCCTTCGAACACCTTCAAGAGTCAAGTTACTGCAACAAAAAGAAGACATAAGCAATATACAAAGTCTGTTTATCATGCTATTTCTTGTATCTACCCGCACGGATAAACTATCTAGTCATGTATTTGGAGTCTTAATCTAGGTAAAGGTAAACAAAGATCCGTAGATAAAATTTACATCTCTAAGACTTATACTCAAGAAACTTGATTAAATTCATATCCTCACTTGAGCATATAAGAGATGGGAATCAATATATTTGAACTAAATCACAGTAGTTATGTTAGGATAGACTCCTAATTGGCTAAATACAAGGTCCATTAGGTTTTCAGGTCAGGTAAGCAGATATAGTTCTATTAACTAACAATGTAGGTTAGTTAACATATGGACATAAAGTGCTGGTCAAGTCTACCATACAAGTACTGTACTTCATTACAAGCCATTTGTATGAAAAGTGCAGACACATTAAACTTTACATCAATAACAGCCCGTATTTAACAGGTATCATAAGCATAAGGTCTGTCAAGAAGCCAAATTATTTCACTGAGACGAACGTAAAGAAAATTTTAGAAGAAAGCACATGCACAAATTTAAGGTTGATATTAACTTATTTTAATAGCTAAACACAAAAGTGGGATCTCTCCAGTTACCAAATTAGTGATCCAACAAATGCACACAAGCACGCGTGAGATATCTAACAGGTAAACCATCAGAATAGAAAGGAGCGGAGCCTAAAATTTTCTCAGTTGGAGCAGATCCAGAAAACCTTAGAAAAAAAGGGATTCTTGCCTCTGTTAAAACAATCACATGAGCCCCATGGTTCCTTTAATCCTAGTAACAAAACAGTAGTAAAGTAATGTCTAATTCTTCACGTTGATAAACTGTTACATTTCCAAATTATTCAAGTTTCAGAAGACACATTAAGACGCAGAATGCACTCTCTTGACAGGCTCCAAAGAATCGAAGGGACTCCAAGCATAGTATGTGTAAAGGCCCTAGAGGGTATATCGCGTGCCCTGCACATTTTCTAAGAATTCCCCAAGAATTACCGTTTGCATCATATTATTTTCTAGCACTGAAGCATTTGTACCTGTCAATAATCAAGGGGTCGCGTGGGTATTTAAATTGTTGGATTGTTGCTTTACAATTGCATAAAGACAGATACTCCTCTTATACAAGTTCTCACCTCGATTTCAGACCAAAAAACAGGCGACGAGATTGCTGTTTACTTGCTTATAGAAGTGCTTTTCTAGCACAATTTAACGTAAATTATCTTCTAATTGGACGTTATCCCGCATTTTCCAAGCAAGATGGCAACTTTCCAGAAAATTACAAAAAAAAAAAAAACCCATAAACCCTAGACCCCGCCTCATATTAAAAAACTAAGAACACACATCAAATTCCAGTAAAATCGAAAACCGACTTCAACTTTAGAGGCAAGTAGAGCGATTAGGACCAAATAAAGAGGGAGGGAATCGTATTTTTTTTTAAAAAAATTCTGAAACGAGTTGGTAATTCGAAATAAAAAATTATTGAGACAATTTGGGCTCGCGTACTCGGCTTGCTGCTTGAAATCGGGGAGGCGCGAGAGAGCATCGCCTTCGTTATCTCAGCCTCCACCTCCTCCTTCGTCTTCGTCGCCGCCGCTGCTGATTCTTCTTCTCCATCTCTCTCGCTCGTGAGAAGGAGGCTAACTGAGGTGGGGGGGGGGGGGGGGAGAAGAGAGCGATTCGATAAACTAAATTGGTCGCGGATTCGGATCCGGCACTGGAAATGTCTACGATGGGCCGGGCATTTGCCACATTGGGCCCAGAATTGGGAGTCGTTTTGGAACCTCTTAACCATTAGTATTGCACTTCAAGTCTTCAATACAAGTTAACCCATTGTTAAAAGTTCATAAACGGTGTTTTAAATATTCTTTATAAGGCCTAAATGCTCCTCTATTGGAAATCTTATAATATTATAAAAGTATATGCCAGATGTTAAAATATTTTCTTTTCGGAAATGCCCTCCAAAACGCGTGTATGCATCTGTAAAACACATGTGTGCATACATAAGTCATGCCCCCATGCGTGCATAACCTTATATATTGTTAGTGGTATTAATTATGATAATGTATTATATTAATTTTGTTTGAATATATTATAGTAGTAACAATAATATTAAAATATTATAATATATTATAATTATTATTAGAATATGTACAACATAATAATATAATATTTATAATATTAAAAAGAAAATAGAAATTATTATCTCCATTTCGTAATAGTATTAGAAATATTTGATATTGTATTATCATAATTTTGTTATAATATACTATAATAGTAACAATATTAGAATTAGAATATAATATATAATAATATTATAAATGTTATAGAATATTGTTAGAATATTTTATAAGATGTATATATTATAGTATTAACTAAGAAAAGGAAATTACGTTGTGCTTGCAAGGAAATGAAGAAGATAATGAAAGTTATATCTGTTTTCTTTAACTTATCAATTAAATGCTCATGAATCCAATCCAACCCATTAATCCCAATACTCATCAACTGCTCAATATACGTTAGCTCTCCATTATCCATTAATTTAAACCATTAATTTTGGTTCTTAATTCTACCCATTAATCTCAATATGAGACAATCAGACATCTTCAACATGCTCAAAAAGCTGTATGCTCAATACAAAGCTATCGTGGACGAATCTCGATTTAGCAGAGCATATTTCTTCTATTAATCATGTATCATATCAGCAGGTCATTACTTAAACATATGACATACAATGTTTCATTTATTTATTTGAATCTAAGTGATAGATCAAGAAAAGATAAACCTTTTGCTTTAATAAATAAATCTCTAATCAATCTCAAGATTGTTCATATCAAACTATTGAGATAATTGAGAAGATGCAGAATCATACTTGAATCCATTGAGTAGGATGTGAATCTTGAGTTTTGAGATGTAGATCTTCCAAATCTTGTACGTAGTAGGATGTGAAACTCTAATACTTCTGAATATGGAAAATCAGAAAGAGATTTTACCTAGAGATTTGGAGAACCACAACCCTATTTATAACTGATATTAGTTATTTATAATTATCAATTCAACCCATCATAGAATTAATAATTATATTTTGATCTCTACACATATGAGGCCGATACTTTAATTATTCATTAAAAACCCAAACCCTAAATTAGATCATTTTAATAGGCTAACCTTAATTGATAGCACATAATACATATTTATTTAATATATTGGCTCATATATTGGATTTAAATCCAACACTAAGTAGACAATAGTTTTCTGTCTCCTTTTCACTCTTATAAAGTGTATACTCTTGTTTGTCTTGCGTTTTATTTGCTACTACTACGCTATGAAATGGCCATAAAATAATCACAATTATCTCGAAAACGTCCATCTATACTACTTATAAAAGAGAATACCCATGTCAAAACTTTTGATTTCCTTTTTTACCCTATCAATTAACTATGCACCTCTTCATTTTCTCAAATTATTTGGTCTCACTAGAATATATTAATAAATTATAATGATAACAAAATTCGTGAATATATGATACTTTATTATAAATAATTATTAATTATATATTATATAAGTAAAAGTCATTCATTTAATAAATTATTGCACACAATTATAATTATTAATAATACTATAAATAGGGGTTATTTCTTTATGTTGCAAAGAATATTACCTTGTTTGATAATTAATATCATCTTAGTAATAAAATTTTGGATGTTATAAATTAAAAATACTTTTATTTTGGAAAATTAATTTATATTAAAAATTTTGGATCCTTGAAATTTATGAGGCATGTACTTTTCTCTTCTTTTTCTCAAAATATTTGATCACTCGCTAGAATAATTTAATATGATAATAAAAATATATTATAATTTGTTGTAAAAGAATTATTAATTGTAATGAAATAGTAAAATTATTTAGTTAATAAAATGTTGTGTGATTATAATTATTAATAATATTATAAATTAGGATTATTTTTTATATTATAAAGATTTATTACCCTTTTTGATATTATAATATCGTCTTAGTAATAAAAATTAGACATTATGAATTAAAAATATTTTTATTTAGAAAAATCACTTTATATAAAAATATTGGATCTTTGAAATTTATGAGTCATGCACTTTTTGTTGGCCAGTAAATGTCTCATAAATTTCAAAGGTCTAATATTTTTATATAAAATATTTTTTTTAAATAATAGTATTTTTAATTTATACTAACCAATTTTTTATTTTTAAGACAATATTAAATATTGAACAACGTAATATTCTTTATAACATAAAGTCATATAACATTAATAATTATTGCCATTATTTAATAGATATTGTAATAAAATTTGTACATAACATAAATATTTAATAATTTAAATGGTTTAATTATATCAATAGTGTTACTTAAACTAACGATTACATTATTATTTAATAATTATACTCCTAAATAAATTGTTTAATAATATAATAATAAACAAATTTAAATAACTATTAAATGTATGTTAATAGTAGTACAAGTACTAATAATAGTATAAGTTAATTTTTTAAATCATAGTGCAATAAAATAACTTTTAATGGTTATATATAATTTATTAAATATTATAATATTAAATACAACAACAAGTCCACGTGCAAAGCACGCGTATTATACTAGTATATATAAATAAATAAATGATGTAATTACCGTTGTATAACCATTATCATTTATCCCTTTTGTTACCAAATGCGATCACAACAAAAACTCCGCAGAAGTTTCATAGTTCCAAAAAAAATAAAGAGACTCTAAACAAGTGAGGGGCACGTCATATGATGATATGAACTCACAAATCCATAACCCAAACAATTTTTGGGTTTAACTGCCAACAGACCCCCGGATTGAATTTTTTTTACCCAGGTGAGGACCTCATATCGTTACTTTTTAACTTTTAAAAGAGTCGAAAAAGTTCACTAAAAAGTGTATTTATACCGGGGCCATTATTATAGGGGTTCTAGTTACCACAAATAGAAATACATTGTGTCTATTCGCAATTGACTGATATTGCGAGGGGTCCATTCACAATAATCCTAATTTTAGTAAATTGTTTATAGGTTTGTTTGATAGATCTAAATCAATAAACTTGAGATCTAAAACCATATAGCCATGATTAATTCAAAGAGATTAACAAAATCAAAAGAGAGCGGAAGCTTATACCTGAATCCATAGATTGATCTTGATTTTGGGTTTTGGATCTTCTAACCTTAGGGTTCTCTCTTTTAGCCGAATTTCTCTAGCTAGATGGGGGTGTAGAGAATTAGAGAATGTAACCCTAGGTTAGGGACCATAACCCCTTATTTATAGATGTTGTACTTTTGTAATTTAGCCCCTCAATAAATTACAATTACAACCTGGTATCTGCACATATAACCCCATGACTTATATTTAAATATCAAATTAACCCAACTTAATTGATCACTTTAGTGGGTTATCCTGAAAGATAGCAATACACATTGATTAATCATATGTGCCCACAAATAGATTTATTAGATTAAATCCAACAATCTCCCACTTGGGCACCATATGATTCCTTAAACTGTGTATAACCTTATGAGCTCAAAAATTGCTATCACTGAAATGGTATTTCCGAACAATCTCGTCCATTGACTATATCAATATAGGATCAAAGCGGCCTTCGTCACATTTATCGTGACTCGACCCATCAATGGTCACATATACCAATACAATCAAATGGCATAGATCAATCATGGATGTACAGCATGAAAATTACATGCAATGTGATCAGTACATGTCTATTTTCAACTGGTCCTCCTTAGTGAGGTCAAAACCAAACATAATGTAACAGAGTGTCTTAACTGAATACTTTATTCTGATCAGACAATACAACCAAACATAAAGCACCACAAATACAAACTCCCACTAAAACATAATATCCTCAAATAATACCACACCCATATGAGCAGTATGCTCATGAAAGACCTTAGGTGGCAATCCCTTAGTAAGAGGATCAGCTATCATGGAGTTTGTCCCAATGTGCTCTATGGATATCTGTCCACTCTGTACCCTTTCTTTCACAACCAGGAACTTAATGTCAATATGTTTTGACTTAGTTGAGCTCCTGTTGTTATTGGAATACATTACTGCAGATTTATTGTCACAATATAGCCTTAGTGGTCTTTCAACATTTTCCAAAATGCGCAGTCCCGTGACAAAATTTCGCAGCCATATTCCCTGATTGGATGCCTCATAGCAAGCTACAAATTCTGCTGCCATAGTGGAGGAAGCTACTAGTGTTTGTTTGACACTTTTCCATGATATAGCTCCTCCTGCTAACATATAAATGTAGCCTGATGTAGACTTCCTGCTATCTTGGCATCCAGCAAAATCAGAGTCCGAATACCCAATGACCTCTAATTTCTCTGATTTTCTGTATGTGAGCATGTAATCTTTTGTTTTCTGAAGATACCTCATAACCCTTTTGACTGCTATCCAATGATCCATACCAGGGTTGCTTAAGTATCTGCCTAACATCCCAACAATGTACGCAATATCCGGACGCGTACATACCTGAGCATACATTAGACTTCCTACAGCCGAAGCATAAGGAATCTTCTGCATTTCCTGAATTTCAAGGTTACCTTTAGGGCACTGATTGAGACTAAACTTGTCTCCTTTAGCAACAGGGGTGTCACCTGGTCTGCAATCTTGCATGCCAAACCTTTTAAGTACCTTATCGATATAGCTCTTTTGTGATAATCCAAGAATACCCCGAGAGCGATCTCGATGTATCTGGATCCCTAATATAAAAGAGGCGTCCCCAAGATCTTTCATCTCAAAATTCTTTGATAGAAATCTCTTGGTTTCGTGCAACATGCCTATATCATTAGTGGCAAGCAAGATGTCATCGACATACAGAACCAGAAAAATATACTTACTCCCACTGAACTTGTGATATACACAGTCATCAACAATGTTCATCTCAAAACCGAACGAGATAACTATTTGTTGAAACTTATGATACCATTGACGAGGAGCTTGCTTGAGTCCATAGATGGATTTCCTTAATTTGCAAACCATATTCTTTGGGTCTCCTGACACAAAGTTTTCTGGTTGCACCATATAAATCATCTCATCAATGTCTCCATTGAGAAATGCAGTCTTAACATCCATCTGATGTAACTCAAGATCATAATGAGCAACAAGTGCCATGATTATTCTGAAAGAGTCTTTCGATGAAACCGGAGAGAAAGTCTCTGTATAATCAATGCCTTCCTTTTGAGTATAGCCTTTAGCCACAAGACGTGCCTTATACCTCTCCACATTACCGTTTGCATCCCGCTTGGTTTTAAAAATCCATTTACAACCAATTGGTTTTGCACCTTCTGGTAATGGGACAAGTTCCCAAACCTTATTGTCTTGCATAGACTTGTACTCTTCATTCATGGCATCAATCCACTGTTGAGAGTTAGAACTTTTCATGGCCTGAGAGAAGTTGATTGGATCATCTTCTAACATTCCACTACTTTCCTCATGTTCTTGGAGAAATACAATATAATCATCCGGAATAGCATTTCTCCTTTCTCTCGTGGATCTCCTTAATGGCACTGGTTCTTGAGGTTGTTGAGTTTGTTCTTCTGGAACAGGGAGTTGTTCAACATTATCATCTTGAGGTTCCGGATTTACTTCTTGAGCAACAACAGGTATAGGAACCTGAATATTGTCAAAAGTAACTGTATGGATTGGATCTGAAGCCAATTCCTCCTCAAAACTAATGTCTCTAACCTTATTTCTCCCCCCAAACTCAACATCCTCAAAGAATGTTGCTGTTCCCGTCTCAAAAATATTCCTTATAGTGGGATCATAAAACTTATAGCCCCTAGAGCGTTCAGAGTATCCAATAAAGTAGCTGCTAACTGTTTTGGAGTCCAATTTCTTTTCATTTGGCCTATAAGGCCTTGCCTCAGCTGGACATCCCCAAATATGTAAATGCTTTAAACTGGGCTTTCGACCAGTCCAAAGCTCATAAGGTGTTTTAGCAACTGCTTTACTTGGTACTCTATTCAGAATGTAAGCTGCTGTCTTAAGTGCTTCTCCCCAGAGTGACTCTGGTAAAGAAGAATGAGCAATCATACTTCTTACCATATCCTTAAGAGTCCTGTTTCGTCTTTCAGCTACACCATTCATGCTAGGTGAACCCGGCATAGTGTACTGTGGGACGATACCGCATTCCTCTAGGTATCTAGCAAATGGTCCTGGACGTTGTTCACCTGAACCATCATATCTACCGTAGTACTCACCACCACGATCAGATCTGACGGTTTTAATTCTTCTGTTGAGTTGATTCTCAACTTCAGCTTTATAGGCTTTGAACATGTCCAGAGACTCAGATTTTTCATGAATAAGATATAGGTGCCCATAACGTGAGTAATCGTCTATGAATGATATAAAATATTGTTGACCATTCCAGGATTCCGTAGGGAATGGCCCACAAATATCCGTATGTATCAATTCTAAGACATCCGAAGATCTGTTGGCACCTAATCTTTTCACTTTGGTCTGTTTTCCCTTGATACATTCAACACATACGTCGAAGTCCGAAAAATCAAGGGAATCCAAAATGCCATCAGACACAAGACGCTCAATTCTACCTTTTGAGATATGACCTAAGCGCTTATGCCATAATGTCGCCGAATTTTCCTTATTTAATTTACGCTTAGTACCACGTGATTCCACATGCAAGGATTCATTATAAGAAGCAATTGTATCGAGCAAATATAGGTTGTCATAAGTACTTAAGTAACCGGTTCCCACAACATTTGAATTAAAAGATAAACTGAATTGACTGTTTCCAAATGAACAAGAATAACCTGATTTGTCCAATAAGAAACAGAAATTAAATTCCCAAAAGTTACTGTTCACCGGCGATTTTTTCAGTTACTGTTCATCCGAGAACTTTTCGTTACTGTTCATCCGAACCCCAAAAAATTTTACTGTTCATCCGAACCCAAAAAATTTTTCTGTTCATCCGAACCCAAAAAATTGAATCTTTAACCAGAGATTTAAGATCAAAAATCCAATAAAACTTATGAATCTTTAACCAGAGATTTAAGATCAAAAATCCAATAAAACTTAAATCCCTAAGAATTAATCAAGGTGGCTCTGATACCACTTGTCAAAAATCCAATAAAACTTAAATCCCTAAGAATTAATCAAGGTGGCTCTGATACCACTTGATAGATCTAAATCAATAAACTTGAGATCTAAAACCATATAGCCATGATTAATTCAAAAAGATTAACAAAATCAAAAGAGAGCGGAAGCTTATACCTGAATCCATAGATTGATCTTGATTTTGGGTTTTGGATCTTCTAACCTTAGGGTTCTCTCTTTTAGCCGAATTTCTCTAGCTAGATGGGGGTGTAGAGAATTAGAGAATGTAACCCTAGGTTAGGGACCATAACCCCTTATTTATAGATGTTGTACTTTTGTAATTTAGCCCCTCAATAAATTACAATTACAACCTGGTATCTGCACATATAACCCCATGACTTATATTTAAATACCAAATTAACCCAACTTAATTGATCACTTTAGTGGGTTATCCTGAAAGATAGCAATACACATTGATTAATCATATGTGCCCACAAATAGATTTATTAGATTAAATCCAACATTGTTAACCCCCACTAATCATTAATTCCCACTTAAATCCATTCAAATTCTCAACGCACAATCCATTTCCTACTAATGCATTATAAAAATTAATAAGTACCATCTTCAACCTACAATTCTACAATTAATGTTGATTAAGGATGTAGTGTGCCAAAAGACAACATTTGGGCGGAGCTTGAGCTTTGCATAGTGACTGCTCTGCTGACGTTATAGAAAGTACCCAACCTAATAAGATATTCAATGATTAACAGTTTACTATTATTTTTAGGATATAAAACAAATATGACCAAGTGTAATACACATGCGCTATACTAGTAAATAAATCTAAAAACGAATGTGATAACTATATGAAAATATTCTTTGAAATATCCTCACGTCCGACTAACAGAAAGTATCGACATTATGCCAAATCCAAATAACTTGGGATATTTAAGTCAAATTCAAACAAATTAGAATATTTAAGTGCGGTAGTTTCAATTTAGACTATTTAAGTGCAAAGTTTGTAAAACAATAGGATATTTAAGCGCCATTTTGCCTAATTGCAATCTCTCCAGATTTATATATCACATTATCATATTTTTATTTCCATTTTTTTTTAAAAGAGATTACTTGTTATTTCTATGTGCAATGAGATTTATGTAACAAACCCACATTGGAATTTTTTTTTAAATCCTAGAAAAAAAGAAGAATAAAACCTCTTAATACTATTCGTTTTTACAGATGATAAACCAGCATCCATGAATAGATTTGAATTTTGCATAATAAACCTATACAGATTTCCTCAGTCACTGCACATAAGACTTACCATTTCATGCGTTCTACGAAGAATCGATTATCAACAAAAAAAACCAAATATTCAAGAACCAATTTACGCGCAAGCATTTCATTTGTTCCTATAAACACAAAGGAATTGAACACAATTGGAATCAATCCTTCATGCATAGCGGAAATATTTCACAGTTCCTTGCGGGATATGGACAAGCTGTTCGCAAGGTAAGCACGCCAAGTTTTCTGAAGTAAACTGTACAAGAGATGAGTTGAGATACACAAATTCATTCAGAATCGAAGAACAAGCACTACATAGGATACATAGCGTAAATGACGCTGCTCTTTTAGAGTGCTCTCGCGACAACTTTGCTGGCCGAACCAACTCCAATTGCTGCAGCTTTCAGGACAGCTCGACCTTGATATAACCTGAAAACAGTAAAAAGATTAACATAAAGCCTCAAAGATATATGAAGCTTCAAATTTATACGCAAGTCTTTGGATTGCATTTATTGATATCGAGGACTATACTCCTCTCATTTGTCCTTAAATTTTCATGAAGCATCAACTTTAGCAGGGAGAAGTGTGCGAGTAATGTTGCCAACCAACCCAAATGACTTGACCTCATAAAAATTGTTAATTGGCAGCAAGCACACGTATATCTCAATGAAATTTCGAATTCAAAATTTCACAATTTAAGGTATGATAATGAGCTACGGATGATAGTACTGATGTAGCCTTCTTTATAATTCCACAATGAAACCCAGCCTTAAAGGCTTAAAGCAACTCATAATTAGTACTAGGTAACTATTAGATAGCACGTGAACGTTCAGAAGAAAAAGCATAAACATGCTTTATGCAAGCAAGCTACATCAAGGTCTAAAAAGCCGACTGGATGCCGTTTACCTATTTCTGAAATCACTATATTGATTCATGGGAAGGGAACGGGAGCGTGGTACGCCGATTATTTGGAATCAGAATTTGGTATTGCGGTTTAGACTTATACAATATGCTGACTGACGTGGTACATTGTAGGTTCAGTTTTTAAATATATGAATTTGAGGACCCGCAAGAGTCAAATTCAATAAGAGTCGACTTTAATAAATATGTCAGTTGATATCAGTACTGGTAGAAGAACCTCCAGAATCATATTGCAATTAAGGTACATGTACTTTATTTGCTTAATTTATCACTTGTTTTTTTCCTAAATTTTCTGAAATGTGGTTTTTTTAATTTAACTGGTGTCAGTTCCAAATCAGGTCACCGGAGTTAGTGAGCTGGGTCGCGTTCCACTACAACTCTGGGATGATTGAACTCAGGTCGCAGTTCGCTATAGCAGGCCACATTCCCAACAACTATGATTTAGACGCTACAAGGTGAAAGGTCCGCAAGAATACAGCAACCAGGACAACATAAATATGGCGTATGTGGGCACAAGTTTTAAATCACCACAATCATAAATTTGGAAGTAATCAGCAGAAGCATGAAATTTAGGACAGAATTCATTTAAGTTGGTATTGGCCAACAGATGAGCTGTAAATGTAAACTCAACATAATTTCCAATGCGGCTGTAGCCATCTAATAATTGAATTTTAAATTTCAACAGATTGTTAATAATTAGAAGAGAAGAAAAATCGGGCTTTGTTCATTAAATTTTGTCCAAATTTGACTAGTATCGTCTACACAGAATAACCAGCAGGCTCCCAAATGTTTGTTAGCTGTAACCTCAAATATCGTTTACGTTTAAACCATATATTTACAATATCAATTAATCATTTGTGGATATTACGTCCTTGAAGCATTTCTCAATACGTAAGCTTTATAGGAATGCCTCTGTAAAATTTATTCAAGAAAAATCAAAATCAAGGCTTACCCAGCCAAAAATAGTCCCCAGGTAGATAAGGTATAGATAATCTTTCCAGCTTCCCACACATGTTTCAACTTGCTCTTGTCTTTAATGCCACCTAAAGCCCTTGCCACAGCTGAAAACTCAAAGAGTTACATTAATATAAAATAAAGAGAGGAATGAGAGTATAAGATTATATATTCTCATAAATTCTTCAACTAAGAACAGTTGAATATGTATTACTTGTTCCAGAAACTAGAAGAAAATAACAGCAGGAAAACAAAATGAAGAATTCCAAGAGCAAGTGACTCAAAAAAATTAAAATAAAAAAACTTCAAGAGAACACATATTTCCATTTTGCAATAAAAAATTATTTTCCTGTAAATATTAGTAATTCCCAGACTATTTTTAAATAGAGCTTTTGGAACATTTAGAAGGATCAATTTTCAAAGAATATAGTTTGCAGCAGGCACCTTACTTGAATGACTAAAGTGCCACCATGAAGCATATCTTGGAAGTTCTTAAGGCTACAAAGTGATTGATAAATAAAGCATATGAAAGTACTATTATCAAATTACACTGGCCACCATTTGGAAGTTCAAAATGATTACTGTCTATAGCTATTGTGATATCCACAGCCATAAGCAATGAGTTTCATCATGTATTGCTTATTCAGAACCTCTTAGTAAAACTGAAATCTTTAAACAGCTTAAATTGTTAAAATAACTTGACACGTAAAAAAACCCACTGTGATGAAGTACCAAAAAATCAGACATTAACCATTGAGAATTCAGTATAGTAAGAAGTTTTTAAAATATGTTTAGTACAAATTGATATGTCTGCTATATCTTTATATAGGAACTATTAAAAGAGAAGGAATCATGAGTTTGGTTCTGTATTAACCAAATCTACAAGAGATCTTTAGAGTTCATGTACAAAGCTCTAGAAAATCATTTCTTTAGAATCATTTGAAATAAAACACTAGGAAGGAAGTACTATATTTTAGTATCATATACACTTTACTTTATACCACCAATTTAATCCAACAACAGTATCCACATTGAATAAGACAATTAAGTTCAGTTGACAACAAATTTCAAAGATCCAGCTAACTGTAGAAAACTCTTAAGTCAATCTAAAGTGTATTAAAGGCAACAGAAACTTACTTCTCTGCAACTGCTCTGGTGTTAACACCTGATATTCATAACCGCACCTTATCAGATAAAGCAAAGGAATAGAAAGGTCAAAATCAAAAACCTTCAAGTACCTTAGATCTTGGGTTTTCATGGATGCATTTGGCTATGAATTCAGCAATCCCATCAACCACATTCTCATCACTAATTATAACATAATTTTCATTGTCAATTCCACACGCTTCCTCCAAATTATCCGGAACCACCTCTTTTGTTACCCAAATCCACCAAGAAGGGTCCCCATTGACATTATCAGAAAGGTCAACTTCTTTGAGATCTGCTTCAATGCACAAAATATACAGCACATGAAAAATAGAAAGTGGTGAAAACATTTAGCTGCATCAAATCAACTTCATGTCAACTCGAGTTAAGGAGGGGACCGACCTGTAACTTCAGTAGGAAGATAACTGTTTGGTATAGCATTGGACTCCTGATGAAGTGATTCAATTTTTGTCAAGAAGCTTGAAGAATCAACTGTTGTTTGGTATAGCATTGGACTCCTGATGAAGTGATTCAATTTTTGTCAAGAAGCTTGAAGAATCAACTGCAGCCTCAAGGCGTGCATATAGCTGCAATAAGTGATTCAATTTTTGTCAAGAAGCTTGAAGAATCAACTGCAGCCTCAAGGCGTGCATATAGCTGCAATAAAACAGAGCTTATCATTTCATATTATCACAATCATAAACAGATGAGATTTACATTTTAAGCATCTATTCAGCTCTCCATTTAACTCGATTTAAATGAACAAATCCACCCTGATATTGACCTTCCACACTTATCCAGAAACAGCAGTACAATTAACAATTAATTTATGTCTCAGCCAACAATCAGAATATAAATAATCCCTTGTACAGTTGTTCCGGGTACATATATGCTGTAGTGAATTATTAGGAGTTATATATGTCGGTAATATGAAGTAAGATCTAGATTTGAAAGCCACATCAATAAAATCAGGAAAAGGAACAAATGTTTTGTTAAGTCAATAGTCAGCATACATGAGTAAAAGATTCAATCTAATACCCAATTGCTTCAAGTTTCTAAATAATGACCTTCAACTCTGCTAATAAAAAGAATATAAGCCAAATATGCACATGCTAGGTCAAAAGAAATGAATGAAGCAATGTATATCTTATGTAATATAGCAAATACAACTTTCCTGCAATGTACATCTTATATAATATAGCAAATATGTAGTATGCATCATTCCAAGTGTAGCATAACCAGTATCCCTAACACCCTCACCCCATTGAAACTAAAATATCTTTAAAGAAAAAACTTAGCTAGATAACAGCATAGTTTAGTGTACAAGGATGAAGCATACATGAATAATTTACATAAATAGATAGAGATTTGCTTCACATCTCATAATGAAAAGCACAGCATAAAAGTTGGATGATGCTTCACATTAACCAAAGAGAAGAGGGGAGATGGAAATACATGCAAGTCCTTGGAAAGAAACGTGAATTAATTACACCCGCCAAGGTTAGTTCAGTTTCAAACCTTCTTCCTTTCTGAATTCCATATGAGCACATGGTACAGGAATTAATAAAGAAACTGCAGAGGTACTCACACATGATGTCCGGACGATCTTTAATAAGAAAGATACTGTTTTGGCTTTAAAAAAATGAAGTGTAATAAGGTACCAAAACTATGCAATTTAATGCATAAAGAGAAACTCAAACAATATGACCGGAAACTATAAGTATTCATCTCTCTTCTTTTAGCTCTTATTATATCCCGTTTCAAGGAATGTCAAGTGAACCCAATCAATTACTCTAAATAAAAGATAATGAAAAAAATTAAAAGATGATTAGGATCAACCATACTTCTCTGTAAAAGATATTCACAAATTTCAGTACTGGTTCGCAAATTCCACAAATTGTAGCCGTTGTTTGATAAGTAGTTCAGCTCAATTCCATAATTTTTCACATAGGAACTTAAATTATACACAAAATTGAGCCTCGATTCATAGATTCCATAACTTATATCTGTTATTTGATAGCTATCTCATTCTCAATTCCATGAATTTCACAAAAACCCTAAATTAAGAAAAAATAAAGAGACTCAAGACTCACATCGGAAGGGCAGTCTTTAGAAAGAGAGGAAATCTGCGAGATCTTCTCAAGGACCGCGAGATTCTCGGCCAAAACCTCTTTCAACCGCTCGTTCTCCGACTTCAGGTGGAGGACCTCCTCCTCCTCTACGGCGATCTCCTTCCTCTCGCGGCGGTGCTCGAGAGCGTTCCAGGCCACGTCAGCCATCTCGATCATCGTCCCCACCACCTCCAGGGGAATCGCGTGGCCATGGCCTACCATTTCCTCTTGATCTTAGTCACAAAGGGCAGAAAACCGTAACCCTAGAGGAAAGCTAACTCCTTTGTCGAGAGTTTTTTTTTTTTTTTTACGAGAAGAAACCCTAACTGGACCGCTTGGGAGGTTTCGCGTACGGAGGTGGGAGACTTCGCAGCGATAACTTGAAGGCGGCAAATTTGCGTAAAGGTCCGCTTTATACAGGAATTTGTATTTGCTTGGCGCAACGGGGAACTGACAAAGTAGAAAACCAACTTTATAGTGGACTTTTATGTAAATTTTATCTCGAGGAGATCATGATAATAATTTGCCAATTAGAGATGCATCATTACGTCAGCTTATGCGCTTAATTTATGAGCATCACTCATTCTAATTAAAACAAAATTTCTATATAACACGACTACAAGCTTAATAATATTAAGCATGTTCATCATCGCTAGGTTCTCCGTTTGGTTTTAGAGGTTGTTTGATTAATTTTTTGGTCAAACAAGCTTTTAAGCTAACTTTTTCATATCTAGTTGTTTAGTAAATCACCAATAAACTGCCTTATAAGATCCCGTCTAAAAAAGTTAGGATTCCTCATCTTTTGAAAAACTAGCTTATAAGCACATATAAATCAGCTAAGTTTGACCAAGTAAATAACCATCGTATCCATACAACTTTTATAAGAATTTTATTATAAAACCCAAAAGCCGTCAAAAGCCAGCATGACTTATAAGCTCCTAAAAATAAACCCTCTCAACAACAATTAACATGTTATTCACTTCAGAAGGATATCATGTACACGTACTTGCAAACATTAACCCCTTAAAAGCATCAATCTTAGGCACACCACACAAATACAAGCGGAACTTATACAAGAATAATCATAGAGCACAAAACATTATAGGAGCCTCTCAGGATCTTGTTTATACCGCCATCATGCACAAAATCCACTGAGCTCATAATTTGCTGTTATCTTCCTTCAATCTTTGCTGGATTTTACTGCCATTCGCGATTTCATGACTGCGAAACTTCAAAATTACACGCTAGGCGCATTACAAATTGTGGGATAAACGGCTCATCGAAGATGATACAACTGCAGAATAAAGGTTACACTCACTATAAATATTGACTAGGCCTCAGGAGTTTTCCTCTTCCGCTCCGATGTCGAATTAGGATCAGACGGGGACTGATTAAACTCAGACCTGCATCATCCGAGAGATCAGAGTAAGAGTTAATATGTTAAACAGACAGAAAACTTAGAACAAGAGTTAATGTTAACGGAGCAGATATAGACTGAAGCTTATGCTTGACTTCTTCATCGTTATCAACTTCCTTTTTCTTCTATTCTCATTTCATTTCTTCTATTTGTTAGTATTTGTTTGTAAAAAACAAGATAGTCCCACATTGGAATTTTGAACATTCTTTTAGAGGTAAAAACAAGATAGTCCCACATTGGAATTTTGAACATTCTTTTAGAGGTTTAAAAGCATTGAATGCTTATTAGGCTTTGAATAATGCTTTTAGAGGTTTAAAAGCATTGAATGCTTATTAGGCTTTGAATAATGGATCAAAGTGTAGGCTTCTAAAACCGCGTGCGGGTAGCGCGATTTTGACGCACTTAGCACTTTGCACGCTTTATAATTATATATTGAATATTTTTTTTAATGTTATTTTGAATTTTAAAAAAAATTATGAAAAGACAAGTGACTGTTGAAAAGTGGTTGTTTGCTCTAAGGGGTGTTTTGAAAAGTTATGACTGTTGGAAGCACCTTTTCAAACCTATAAATAGTTTATGTTTTCAGATATCTATTTACAATTCTTTTCTGAATCTTTTCTACCAAAAACATCTGCAATATTACAAACTTGTTTCACAACGAATTAAGGAAAATTCCAGATTTGCTTACTGGAATTTTCATTTTCTGTTGTATCCTGGAAAAAAAATTTGCATTAACCCGAAGCAACTTTGAATATCAAGTGGGAGCAAATATTTTTTTAAGGAAAGTGTTTCACGCCTCAGAATTGCTGTCTCCTTCATTGTTTTACTAACAATCTTAAAGAAATATCTCTACTACAATGGAGTCGGAATCAATCAAGGTGATGAATCAAGACATTGTCAAATTGGACCGATTCGACGGGAACAATTTCTCTCGCTGGCAAGACAAAATGATGTTTCTTCTTACAGCATTGAAGATATCCTACATTCTCAACCTCAATCTGCAGCCCATAGAAGATCCAAAACCAAGTGCAGACGGCAAACAACCTACTGAGGAGGAAATAGTAGAAATCAAAAAGCAAAAGGCAAAACGGGAGGAAGATGAAGTGTTGTGTCGCGGTCACATTCTGAACACACTTTCGGACCGATTATATGATCTTTTCACGAGGATAAAGTCGGCAAGGGAGATCTGGAACGCACTGGAATTTAAATACAAAGCCGAGGAGGAAGGTACAAACAAGTATTTAATTGCAAAATATCTAGAATATAAAATGGTTGATGACAAGTCTGTCCTAGAGCAAGTTTATGAATTGGAGGTTCTGGTTAATAAGATTCATGTTCTCAAAATAGTTCTTCCAGAGTCTTTTCAAGTTGCTGCAATTATTGCAAAACTACCATCAACTTGGAAAGATTACTCTAAGAAACTAATGCATAAAACTGAGGATATCTCTTTGGAACAACTTCAGAAGAATCTTAGAATTGAAGAGGAGTCACGCTTACGTGATTCGAAAAATTCTGTCCAAAGTGATTGTAAGGTCCACACTGTGGAAAAGAATGAATCTTGGGTAAAAAATATGAACCTTCAAGTAAAGAAAAGTGGGCAACACTTTAAAAGAAAGAATTTTCAGAAGAAAAAGGGATCATGTTTTATTTGCGACAAGCCTGGACATTTTGCTAAAGAATGTCATCACAGAAAAAATAATAATGTAAAATCAAATGCTTCTGCAAATATGATAGAAGAGAATCCGGTCGCTATGATTTCTGAAATCAATATGGCTTCTGTTAAGTCTGGATGGTGGCTTGATTCTGGTGCAACAATCCACGTTTGCAAGGACAAATCCTTGTTCAAAGGATTTGAAGAAATTTTGAAAATTTCAGAAGTGCAAATGGGGAACAATGCTTGTGCAAAGGTTGCTGGAAAGGGGACTGTTGATATAGATTTTACTTCTGGAAATAAATTGACTCTTATAAATGTTCTGTATGTACCCGAAGTTAGAAAGAACTTAGTTTCTGTTGATCTTCTTTGTAAGAAAGGGTTTCGGGTTGCTTTTGAGTCAAATAATGTTATCCTGTCTAAGAACGAGATGTTTGTGGGGAAAGGGCTACTCTTGTGATGGAATGTATCAACTAAGTATTAATAATGAAGTTATATCTTCTGTTTATATTGTTGAATCTTCATATTTATGGCATGATCGCTTAGCACATTTAAATTTTCGCTATTTGAAAAATATGAGAAAGTTAGACTTCATTAACTTTAATGGTGAATTTGATAAATGTGAAATTTGTACTAAGTCTAAATTAACAAAGAAATCTTTTCCAAGTGTTTCTCGCAATGATTCTAAAGTTTTAGATTTAATATATTCTGATATATGTGAATTGAATGGTATGTTAACTAGAGGAGGAAAAATATACTTTATCACTTTTGTTGATGATTGCAGTAGATATATGTATGTTTATCTTTTAAGAACAAAAGATGAAGCTTTTGATATGTTTAAAAAATACAAAACAGAAGTTGAAAATCAACTTGAAAGGAAAATTAAAGTATTACGTTCTGATAGAGGTGGTGAATATTTTTCTGATAATTTTAATAATTTTTGTGAAGAACATGGCATTATTCATCAATGTACAGCACCTTATACTCCCCAACAGAATGGTTTAGCCGAAAGAAAAAATAGAAGTTTACAAGAAATGATAAATTGTATGCTTAATAATGCTAAGTTACTTTTAAATTTATGGGGAGAAGCATTGTACATAGCATGTTATATTCATAATAGGATTCCCTCTAAAAAGTCAAATATAAGCCCTTATGAGTTATGGAAAGGTAGAAAACCTAATCTGTCATACTTTAAAGTGGGGGTGTTTGGCTTATTATAGAATTCCTGATCCTAAAAGAACAAAACTTGGACCTAGAGCCTTTAAAAGTATTTTTGTCGGATATGCTGAAAATAGCAAAGCATATAGACTACTTGATTTATCTTCTAATACTATTGTTGAATCTAAAGATGTTGAATTCTTTGAAAATAAATTTTCTGTAGATTCTGAAAATGTTGAAAATGTTTCTATTCTGCTTAACTCTAATAATTTTTCTAGTTCTGATTTTCAGGCAAAGGAAACGAATACATCTAAAGAAACATCAAAGCCAAAAAGAAGTACTAGAGCAAGAAAAGAAAAATCTTTACCTTCAGATTTTATTTCTCCTGAACAAATTATTTTTCTTGTTGAATGTGATAGGAATAATAATGTTTTAAATAAACATCCTATAAGTTTTAATCCAGGTGATGATCCTAAAACCTTTTGAAGCAATGTGTCATCTAGAGATGCTTCATTTTGGAAAGAAGCTGTCAATGATGAAATGGATTCTATAATGGGAAATAGTACTTGGATTTTAGTAGATTTACCTCAAGGATCAAAGCCAATAGGATGTAAATGGGTTTTTAGAAGAAAATATCATTCTGATGGTTCTGTTCAAGCTTTTAAGGCTAGATTAGTAGCCAAAGGGTTTAGACAAAAAGAAGGCATAGATTATTTTGATACATATGCACCTGTCGCACGTATAACATCTATTAGAATTCTTATTGCTTTGGCATCTATACATAAGTTATTTGTGCATCAAATGGATGTCAAGACTGCTTTTTTAAATGGAGATTTAAATGAGGAAGTTTACATGGAACAACCGGAAGGTTTCATTCTTCCAGGAAATAAAAAAAAAGTATATAAACTAATTAAATCTCTTTATGGTCTTAAACAAGCACCAAAACAATGGCATGAAAAGTTTGATTCTGTTATTCTATCTTATGGTTTCAAACATAATAGTGCTGATAAGTGTATTTATTCTAAATTCACTGATAAATATGGTGTGCTTGTCTGCTTGTATGTGGATGACATGTTAATATTCGACACTAATATGATTGGTATAAGTGAGACAAAAGAATATCTATCTTCTATGTTTAAAATGAAAGATTTAGG